GACAATATTGAATTATTTCATACTCATAATGAAGAATATGAAGAAATATATGATTATTGAAGAATAAATAATGAAATAATAATGTATGAAGTAGAATATTCAATACATTGAAAAGAAAAATCACAATTGAAAATATTCAAAATCATAGAATATACAGAAAAAGATAAAATATTGAAATACAATACAAATAAATGTCAAAATAAATTGATATTTATGTTTTAAATAACTATTATCCATAATTATCAAATGATATTAAAAATATATAATTTATTAATGAAGATAGAATATTTGTTGGAGAAGACAATATGGCATCAATTGACATTGATAATTTAAAAAAATAATAAAAAATACAAAAACATATAATTAAATTTGTTATTATAACAGTAATTAATAAAATGAAATATAATTGTTTTAAAGAATGAAGACCATTAACATCAATTACTCTTCATTTTTCTATTTTTTGAATTTGGAAATAATTTTTGAATGCTTCTAAATTTCTTAAGAATCAAGTGATAAAAATTAAGGGAATAAAACTACAACAGATGAAATACAATATATTTTAATTAGAAATAAATTTATGATGATAATTAATTATTGTTTTTAATCATTTCGCAATTATTTTATTATATCTATTTCTTCGCCACATGGATTTAATGAAAATCATAAAAAACAATTTTATTCAAAGAAATAACTTTGAAAACTATTGCTAATGTTATAAGATAAGCAATTTCAATAAAATAACATTCATAACCATTTCGTTACTACTTATCAGTATCATAACTGACATTCAAACAAATAAGCATAAAGTAAAAAAGACAATCCATTATTATAAAGTATAAATGAAATATTCTAATTGGAATGTTCAAATAATGTCATTAATTAAAGATGGAATATACTGTACTAAAGAAGAATGAAGTAATAAAATAATGTTATCAAGAGATAAATGTACATTTGAAATAATTAGAACAATAAAAGAACATGAATTAAAGACAATGAAATATGAGAAATGAAGAAAATGAATAAGAAATTGAAAATGAAGAGAATGTATAAAGCATGTAATAAAAGAAATAATAAAAATGAGTATAATGAAATATCAAACTATACAAAATAAGAATAATTAGATTATATTAATAAAATAATAAAAGAATAATAAAATAATAAAATACATTGATAATGAAATGATAAGAAAATAACAAATGAAATGATGAAGAATATTAATATAAAAAAGAACATAAACAATGAAATTAATGAAAAAATAATATATTTATATGAATTAACAAATTAATAATTATATTAAATGATAAATGAAGTACTATTTATAATGATAAATAACAAGAAATGAACCCATAACAACAAATTAGAATGTAAATAAGAAAATACCAATTAAATATGAAATAATACCTGGAAATATGAAGAGGATAACTAAAATAAAATATAAAATAAATATAATGAAGAGATAAAGAATAAACCCAGAGAAAATAAAATGAAAATAACTAATAATAAAAATGAAAATGATAACGTCAAAAGAAGAATATAAAATAAAGAAATAATCAATTAATTGAAACAAAAAAATAATCATTAAAATGAAGTACCATATAGAAGTATCTAACGAATATTAAACCAGATAGAATTAATGAATAAATATCAAACAAAAACAAAGAAACAGGAAAATACATATCTACTGAATCTCCTGAAAATTAATTTAAGAATTTTTATTTTTTTATTTCTTGTTTCATAATATTTTTATTACTCAACTTATTTCACAACTATTAAAACAAATGACTTGAAATGAATGTGTTTAACATCATAACTAATATCTCTTTCATTGCTGAACATTTATCAAATAAATTGATTGAACTTCAGATGAAAACAAAAGAAAGAAGAATCTAAAAATCAAAAGATAATAAGATACACATATAATTAATAAGATACACATAATATAAATAAGTATAAAAATGAACACTTGTTAAATAGAATAATACTCATATCAATGAAATACACAATTAACAAAATACTCATATTACATTGTTTGTTATTTGACTTTGTTAAAATGTTAAACAAATCATAATGAAGAAATTAAATTCATAAGAATGTTTATCATTATGAAATTCATCATTATTATCAATTATTTAATTGTTAAATACTTTGTTTCATTTCTACACGTTTAGAATATTGATTTAAATACAACCAGTGCTAATTGTATTTATAAAAGAATAATAAGTTTTGTTCATCTTAAAAATCTGAAAATATCAATGTTAATATTCATCTTCTTCACATCACTATTTGCACTCAACCCTGTTGACTTTTCAATGTCCAACAAATCACATGTGATACTAGACACTTACTTCAACGAATTATCTGATTATCGTTATTCACTCATCACTCGTTATGAAAAGACACGTCGTTTGTTTTTATTATTACTTACCCATAACATCATGTTTGAAAACTGAATAAATTAACTCCAAAGCAAACCAATTTTTTGTAGATGCAAAAGTGTCCAATTCAACTATTCTTACTGCTTCATTTTTTGACCCACCACAGCATCCAAAATCAATCAATATCAATGAAAATGTCATTGTTATCAACCAGGGTAAAGTCTATCACTACAAATACTCAACACCATCAAATATAACAATCATGCCAACAAAGATTGATTTGACAAGTCCAATAGAAGTAATTGGTGAACAATTTGTTGTCTGTGTAGGAGGATGTTTGTAAAAATTCATAAGAAACACTAAACACAATAACAATATAGCCATTTCAATCTTCCAATCAAATGGACAGGTTGAAAATAAAACAGATATAGAATGTGGAGAATACCTTTCTCATGGACATGACATATTTGCAATCAAAAAAGGGATTAAAACACGACTATATAAAATACCACAACTTAATATAATTTATTCCTATTCAATTAACAACACAAGTCCTACAGCATATCATGATCCTATGGTACTTAACATATTTGATGTTGCATATACAGCAATTACATCAAATAATATCATTGAAGTAAGATCACCAAATGACTACAAAAGTGTTGAATATCTTAATATTCCTTTCTATCATCCAAATGACGTATTGTTTAATTCTAGTCAAACAAACATCCTTCAAACGTATGGAAGTATAATTGTAATTGGATTATTTGGACATGATAATGGAAGTGGAGCAGTTGAAATGTATTATGACAACTATGCAGTTCTTCACAAACACCATATTAGATTTACAAAGATTGGAAGAATATCTATTGGAGAACATTATGACTTTAAAGGATATACCACCACATTAGATGGAGAAGAAGTTCTTGTTGGGGGAATGTATTCAAATATAAATGACCATCCATATGTAATTGATATAAGAAATTCATTAAAAAAATACTGTAATCAGAATGATTGTACATGTCCAAATGGGTATTATCTCAACGAAGACACATGGAAATGCTATATCGTGATTGACATTGGAAGCATTATCATTATTCAACTTATTTCTGTGTTAATTTTCATTGCATCTATGATTCTTCTTGTAATTATATATCGAGGATGGGCGTTAGCATCACCAGCCATTCCCCCACTCATTACACCATCATGGCTCACATTTGGATTCAATGAGGAGGCACCAGTCCACACCCAAATAGAAGAAACACTAACAATAACAAATGCATCTGACACATTAATGGAATGCAAAGTGGAACTACCCATCAGTTATCGAATTAGTTATTGTGCTAAACCGCAATACATTGACATTAAACCACATTCAAGTGAAAAAGTGAGAATATGCATTACAATAGAATGTAGTTGTCAACCAAATGAAGGAATTGTCATAAGTACAGGAGAATCTGCAGTGAGGATTCCATTAGTCATCAAAACAGTAGATGATTATGTGATTGATTCGGAAAATCTCATAGAACAAAGAATTAGATGTCAAAGTTGTATTGGCGTTTTTAGGGATTGTGTTTTTAAGTCACAAAATAAAGAAAGTGGAGTTGTACTAGCATTACCTTTAGAACCAGCATTACATGAGAGCAGTATAAATCATATTAAATCTTTAATAGTTGAATCCCAATATTTATGTTCTCCACAAAAAGTTGCACTATCTCCAAATGCATTAATTCTTGTTTACAACACATTTTATTCCACAATAAATGAATTAGACCAAAATAATGAAATTCTTATTATCAAAGTATGTTGTGATGCTATTGAAGGATTGATTGAGTTAAAGAAAAAAGGGATTGTATTCAAACAACTGTGTCAACACAATATTGTTGTTGTATCAACTGATTTGAAACAAGTGTGTGGAAAGTTAATTGGATGGGAATTACCATATCATCTATTTCCTCCATCACTTCATCCTTGTTGTCAAAATTATTCAAAAGAATGTGAAGATGGAGAAAATGAAGACATAAAAGCATTTGGGAATGTTTTGAGTCATTTACTGGATGAATCAAATCAAACAATTCATAAGATTTGTGAAGATTTCATTAAATGTACTGATACAATTACATTGGAAAATATCAAAAACCAATTAGTTTTGTATTTGAATCAAGTCCAACAAACAAGAACGAATCAAAACATAATTTACACATAAATTTTAATTGAATTAATTCGAGAATAGTTTTGAATAATGAAAAAGTAGAATAAAGTGATAAACTCCAATAAGAAAATGGTTGTGTATAACTCTATTTGTTAATAAAAACAAAATGAATAACAAAAAATTGGTTTAAATTCCAATAACTATATTGTTTCAATAATAATGTTATAACCATTACTAATATAATATTAAGTCAAAAATACTTAAATAACAATTATTTCTACTTCAAGTTTTTGAATAAACCACAGATTTATCACATTTAGTGTGTTAGTATAAAAATGAACGTTTAATTAATCTAAATTAATTTATGACATTTAATATATTACTTATTTTAATACTCTCTCAGAAAAATCTAAATTCTGTTATTTTATTTTTACAATTGAACTTCTCAATTTTTTAACTTTGACTTTTATTAAACAGATTATTCAAATATCTTGATAATAATGTTATTTGAATAATGATTTTAAGTTAAAAATTAAAACCAAAACATTGTCTTAGCACATACAATATAGATTTATTACTATTTTTATACCAACCATTAAACTTTTTATTATCATTTCTTCTTATTCTGATAATAATAAATGCAATTAGAATTTATCACTAACTACTACTATCTAATCTGTCAAAATTTTACACAAAGTATTATACAGAGTGTTATTTGGTATTAATTTAACTTTTTTTTCTAATTGACTTTTATAAAAATAAAGAAAATTAATAAGAGATAATCTATGTTGATGAAACATAGAAATAATGAAGATTTTTTCTATAAAAATTTTAAATATTCCAACACGTTGTTGTTTTTCCTTTTTTTTTATTTTTCTAGTTAGTAAATTAATTCAATTATATTTTTTTTAAAACGACTTGTTTGAATTTTACAAATAATAAGCATCTTTTGTCTGATACACTGACATACTTTAAGTAGCATTGTAATTGTTATTTATCACAGAAAACGAGTTTTATTGACGAGAGATTAAAAGGATGGTGAAAAGAAAAAATAGAAAAAAAACCTAATCAAACCCTAGAAAGAAACCTAAAAATATAAAAAGGTCTAAAAAGAAATAAAAGAAAGAGGAATGAGTGATCTTATTGATCTTGCTACTAAAAGTTATGAAGAATATATGACATTAGTTGATGAACAGGTTCATAAAAATTATCATGCCTGTACTAAAAAAATGAAAGAAATACAAAAATTAAGACTTGTTTGTGAAAGAGCTAGATATGAAGCTATGAGTAAATTTAATGAAGAAGCTAGTAAAATTTATGGTAGAATGAATGAAATCATTACAGGAAATGCTCAACCAACAGAAGACGAATTAGAAGGATATATTAAATCAGATGAACTTGTTGCACAAGAAGGATCACAATTTAATAAAGGAATTCCAGTTTTTTGGTTCCAAGTACTTAAAAATTCAATGTTATTTGATTCAGCCAATGGTTCTGAAGCTGATATTTCAGTATTAATTCATTTAAAGAATATTAGAATTGAATATATGCCATTAGAAGATGTTAAAAATAAAGATGGAGAAGATACATTAAAGTATCATTATAAAGTTCATTTCGATTTTGAACCAAATGAATATTTCACTAATGAAACAATTACTGTTAGTGTTCAATGCAAATTATGTGAAGCTGAAGGAGAATTTGATGAACCTGCTGTTATTACTGAAACACCTATTGAATGGCATAAAGATAAAGATGTTAGATATAAGTTGGTTAAAAGAAGAGGTGGTAAACGTGGAGGAAGAGGAAGACCAGCAGCTGCTGTTAGACAAAAAGTTGAATCATTCTTTGATTTGTTCTATACTCCAGCATTACCAGAAAATCTTAATTTAGAAGAGATGGAAGAAGTTGATGAAGATGTAATTATTTGCCACACTAATTTCAAAATCTTTATGGAACTTATTAATGAAGTTTATCCAATGGCTTTGAGTTTCTTCGATGAAAGTATGGCTGAACCAGATGATGAAGACATGGACGACGAAGATATGGATGATGATTGTGATGATGACTGCGACTGTGAAGGTCATGATGATGAGGATGACGACGATGATGAAGAAGATAAGCCACATGGTAATACATCAAATACAACTGCTCCACCTGTACCACAAGAATGTCCACAACAATAAAAAATTTGCTTTAAGATTAGAATTGATTGGGATATTTTTTTTTGATTGGATAACATTTATTTTAACGAAAATGAAAAATACTTAAAAATAGAATAATTCTAAAAATAGAATATAAATCGAAAAGGTAAAAGAAACTTTAAAGAGTAATATAATGTCCGCAAAACCAATTGAAGTTACTAAGACAAAAGACACTCGTTCATCACGAAGTGCATCAACAGACTTTTCATCCCTGTCTGGGAATGAAGGAAAAATAGACGAACAAAAGTATAATCCTGATCCAAGATATTCTGGATTATTTGATTCACCTAATAGTAGTGATTATATTACTTGGACAACTGAAGCTGGGTGTGACTTTAAGATCATCCAAAAAGCAACATTAGAAAAATGTGTTCAAACAATGATGACGACAGAGTTTAACGATGGGTATTTTCAAGAATGTTTTGTATTGGCTTATAGATTAGTCACTACACCAGAGAGGTTATTAGAATTACTTGGGATATTATTTGATCCAACAATTCCAGAAGGGATGTTATGGGAAAATTTTGTGAAAGATGTTATATCACCGTTAAGATTAAAAATTATGAATTTCGTAAGAATTTGGATAAAAAACGCTTGGAGAGATTTTGAAGGACAAACTGAGTTGATTGAAAAATTACAACAATTATTGGACCATTTTGAAGAATTTAATCCTAAAATGAGTAAAATCATCCAGAAGCAAATTGAAATGAAAAGAAACTATCCTAACAAACAGTCAAACGAAGAGATGGATTTACCTTTATTTAAACCAATAATATTAGAAAAAAATGTTAAATTTTCTGGTGTTTTACAATTTCATTATAAAGAATTTGCAAGACAAATTAGTTTTCAACAAAATGAATTATTCAGAAAGATTCCTTACAACGAATTTCTTGGAAATGGTTGGATGAAAAAAGATAAAGAAGTATTGACACCAAATATTATGGCTTTAGTACGCTCATCTCAAAAATTATTTGGTTTTGTTCAAAACGTTATTCTTACTGAAGAAAATGTAAAAATGAGAGCAGTTTTATTACATTATTTTATTCATGTATCAGAAGAAATGAAAAAATTAAATAATTTTGAAGGAATGAAAGCTGTACTAAGTGCATTAGAATCATCACCAATTTATCGATTGAAAGATACATGGGATGGGATATTACCTGAAGATAAAGAAACTGAGTTGAGTTTAAATAAACTATGTGACCAAGAAAAAAATTTTAGTAAATTAAGAGAAATGATGAAAATTGCAGTTCCACCTTGTTTACCATTTTTAGGTTCAACAATGAGTGACTTAGTATTTACAACTGATGGAAATAAACAAGGAGATAAGTTATTGATTAACTGGTTTAAAATAAGAAGTATAGGTAATTTAGTTAAGGAAATAATGGTTAAACAAGCAATTGGATATCCAGTTAAAAGGAATAATGAAATAATGAATTTTTATAATAGCTACAAAGTAGAAGAAGACCAAGACAAGTTGTTTGATATTTCTATAACACTTGAAACAAAAAGAGGGGAAATAAATAATGAACTTGAAAAGAAGATTTCAAAATTGAAAAAAGAGGGAAATACTAAAATCAAGAAATATATAAAATATCTTTCAAAATAAAAACCGGGAAAAAACATTTTTAAAGTAATTTAATATGATTAAAATGTGTTATTTAAATTTAGAATTGAAAAAAATATGAAACAATTTGAGGAATTTTAAAGAGAACTAACAATAAATTTAAGATTTTAATTTAATAAAATAGTAAATTAAACTATATAAGGAAATTGAGGAAAGGGGATGAAAATATAAATAACAAAGACAGGAGATATTTAAAGGAATTAAACTATCACAAATTAATCATATCCATGAGCTCAACACAAGTTGTTAGAGATATTTTACAAGTTGCTAAAGGAATGTTACCTCCAAGTCAACAGTCTACACAAAATATAAGAAGTATTGAGGAAATGGCACGTAGCCTTGTTGCTCAAAAAACTCATAATATTCAAAGAGAAAAGACAGAAGAAGAAAAAGAAAAAGAAAGAGAAGCTGAACAGTTTAAAAAGCATGTAGAAGAAGTATTAAAACAAGAAAAAGAAAGAATGATAAAATCTACTGAAGTTTCAAATCAAAGATGTGCTTTCTTTGAAAAATATGAAGAATGTATTAATATCACTAAATCCAATAAGAAACCAGAAATTATTATTACTGGAATTCAAGGCTCTGGTAAATCAGAATTAGTTGAAGGTATTGTTGGAATGCCTATTGAATATATTAATACTTCTACTGCAACAACTGTTCCTATAATTATAGAAACTGTTTATAAACGTGGAGTAGAATGTAAATGCTTTTTCTTTGTGGAAAATGAATGGAAAGAAGTTACAGTTGATGAAGTTCCTAAGTTAATAGAAAAAAGATGCTATGAAAATAGACCAATTGGGTTTGAAGAAGTACTTATAAAAATAGAATCTCAAAATGTTATTCCTTTAAAAATAGTTGATCTTCCTGGTTTTGTTGAAGAACAAAATGAAACTCAAACAAAAGTAGAGAAGTTGTGGGAGAAATATGTAACAGAAGAAGAAGGAAAAATTATTCTTTGTGTTGAAAAATCAACAGAAGAACGTGGGGAAAATTCTTGTGAAAGTTGGGTCATAGAAAAAAAGAACATCCGTAAAAATGTTGTGATAGTACAAAGTAAATTTGATAATAGAATTACTCAGGTTAAAGATAAAGAAGAGATGAAAGCATACCTTGATGGTGAAACAGAAAAATGTAAATATTTCTATGTTTCTTTCTTAAATAAAAGGGGATTAACTATCAAAGGATTTCAGGAGTCTCTTCAAGAAAAACAAATAGATGATTTAAGAAGACTAGTAACTATGGGAATTAACGAAGATTACTTCAAGAAAGTTGGAGTCTGGAGATTAAATTCCTTTCTTAAGGAGGAAGTTATTGATGAGTATATGAAAGGGATTAATGAAATGAGTAACTCTTTAAAAAAGCAAATTGAAGACACTGACCAAGAAATACATAGCCTAGAAGAAGAAAAAGAGAGCAATGATGTAGATGAACTTAAAAGAGGATTAAATAATTCAGTTAGTAGTCTTGGAAATTTAATTGTACAACTTATCACTGGTGAATGTACCATAAGTCCAAAAGAGTATGGAGAGACAATGGAAGAAGAAAGAGCTCAAGTCAAATGTGAAAAATGGCCTGGAGTTGGATCCGAGATTAATATTGTAGGTAGTGGGATGAAATTATATGGAGGTGCTCAATATGAAAGGTTATTAAGAGAAACAGAAGCAGCTTTACTAACAATGGAATTACCAGTACCAACTGCTGACGAAGTTTGTGTCGCTATGGGTATTCATGCAATTGGAGGAATGTTGAATGGTGGAGAAAGAGTTATTAGTGTTGTTATTAAAACAAAAGCATCACGTGCATTACTTCCTATTATCTCAATATTGGTACAAAGAATTACACATGTTTTTGAGAGATTGTTTAATGTTGCACTTGATGTAATAGAAAAGGTATTTGGAGAAAAGAGTTCGTTACAAAATGGAGAATTGAGTAATGCTCTAAAAGAAGTTTATATTAACTTTGCAAAAGAAAAGTTACGACGTTGTGAAAAAATGTTGAAAGATGATTTAAATTCGTTTGTAAGTGTTGTTGATTGGAGTATGTTATCAAGCACAACAACAGTCATGGAAGAAGAGAATGATGATGAAAAAACACAAGATGAAGAAGAACTAAAACCAGTTGACCATAATCAAAAAATTAAAGAGCGAGTTCAAAAAATGATGGAAGAACGAGACAAAAATGAAGTGAAACTATTTCAAGAATTGAGAAATATCAATGGAGCAGACTCTCATTCATCTATTTGTAAAATTTGTCAACGGGTGTTTGGAGTTATTCGAGATAGTTTTTGGAGAAATGCACGAAGTAAGTTAAATGCATACTTCCTTCAACCTATGATTGGGGAATTAAAAGAAGAATTATCTAGACAAATTCCTACATTAGGAAATATTTTAACTGTACACAAAAAAAGTACTGAAGAAGTTGAAGATGAACTTAATAAATTGAATAAACAAAAGAAACAATTATGTGAAGACTATGAAAGGGTTATGGAGGTTAAAAATTTATTACTGTCAATTCAATCCAAAAATCCATCTCAACCACCTCCTAACTTTGAAAGTCCAATGAAAAAAAGAGTATTGTTTTAATTGATAGTTTTTTTATAATAAAAAGAATTACGGTTATAATAGAAAGAAAAAAGAACTTTATTATTTTAGTACTATTGTAAAATAAAAAAGAAATGGGTTTTAACTCATTAGATTGTTTTCAATTAAAATTAATTTGCGGAAACATTCATAAAGAAGAGGTGATTAAAAAGTTTATTTTTGTTAGTAAGAAATGTGCATTATCTGTTGCCACATTAAAATTTAATCCAATTCGAAAGACAGAAATATTTAATGGACTTCAAGTACAACGATTGTATAGTGTTGAAGATGTTATTGATCCACGAGTTAAAGAGGTAGAAGTTTTGTGTGATGTGTCTTATGGGGCAATGGAGTCTGTGAAAGAAATGATTATTAAGAAGTGGAATAAGGAGAATAAAAAGGAAGAACAAATGAATATATATTTCAACCGAATTGTTTTAACACCTGAAGACGCTAAGAAGATTAATGAAGATGGAGAAGGAATCAAAATACCAACTGAAGTCAATACGATATCTGATGGGTGTTTAAGATTATTTACTGGAAAAGAAAAGATGATAATAGGAAGTGGTATGGAAGCAGAATCTATTATGATGCTTGTAGATGTTGGGGTTAAGAAGATTCATATTATAGGAGAATGGAAAGGGATTTTAGATGAACGAGCAATGGGAATTGTTATTGGAAATATTAAGAAATGGAAATTTAATTGTAAAGATGCTGAAGAATGGAAAACTAAAACAATTAATGAAGTTGGAATGACTGGACTAAATAAAATATATATAAAAGATGGTGTAAATTATATTGAAGAAAATGCATTTCATTTACAAACAAATTTAATGGAAATAGAACTTCCAACAAGTGTTGTTTTTATTGGAAAAAATGCACTTCCTGAAAACCTCAGTTCATTAGAATTTAGTCAAAGTTTAGTTGTAGAAAGAGCTGCACTTTGGGTATCAGAAAAAGTAAATAAATATCATGGAAAATGTGAACAAATAATTTTTACTAAAGAGGATAAAAGAAGATGGATAGAAATGAATAAAGGAAATAAATGTATTTCTATTCCTTCACAAGTTTCATTTATTGGGAAAGACTGTTTCAAAGGAAATAAAGAATTAACTGAAATTCAATTTGGTAATGAAATTCATTGTTTTGAAGAAGGATGTTTTGAGGGAAATCAAATGAATTTATGTCTTAAAAACGTTGAGTTTATTGATAAAACAGCATTTAAAAATGCTTTAATTAAAAGTATTTCATTAAATGAAAAGTGTAGTATTGAATTAAATGCATTTGAAAATGCTTGTATTGATGAAATTAGAATGAGTTCAAATCAAGTGATGTTATTAATTCCTAAGTTATTAAGAGCTCAAAAGATAAATAAAATATTATTTAATAATCTAAGTAGTTCCTCTTTAATAAATAAAGAATTTAAAGAACAAGTATGTTATAGAATTGGAGAAATGATAAGACGAGGTGGAATTAAATGTACTAATGTTGTATTAGAACAAGATGACCTTATTGAATATGCAGAACATCATCCATTTGACTGTGACATGATTAAAGAATTAAATGTAACATATATTGAATTTAAAAAGGTAACTTTACCTTACTCAATTAATGCCTTAGGAAGAAGAGTCTTCTCTGATTGTTGTTCATTAACTTCAATTGAGTTTCATTCTAAAATGGTTTCTATGGAAAAAAGGTGTTTAGAACATTGTGTTTCATTAAAGTCATTGGTTATTCCAACTTCAGTAACAAATATTGAGAATAAATGTTTCGCTCAATGTTCACAATTATCAAAAATTGTTCTTCCACCATTGAAAGTATTACCAAAAGGATTATTCTATAATTGTGGATTTAAAGAATTTGATGTTCCTAAAGGAGTATCTGCAATTGGAAATGATTGTTTTGCAGAATGTTATTCATTAACTAAAGTTAATTTACCAGATGGTATTATTTCAATTGGAAAACATGCATTTGAAAATTGTATTAAATTAAAGAGTATAAATATACCTTCTACAATAAAAGAATTTGGAAAAGGGTGTTTTGTTAATTGTTCATTGGCAGTAAATACTTTGTATGTTCCTGAAGAAGCATGGGTTAAAAAAGAAAAATTCTAAAATAAAAATGTATTAATTGAGTCTCAGATTATTTAACTTGTTTTAATTTTATTTTTGATAATTGAGTATTTGGTAAGGATTTAATCATTGTTGAATTAATGAACATAATATTTTGTTGAGGGCGCACAACCCATGGAAATAATAAACAAACTACTTTATTTTTTCCACAGTCTAAAAGTTCATTATTTGTATAATACTTTTTATCATAAGTAACTTGATAACATACATCACAGAGTCTTCTTAATGGAATTTTTCTTCTCCCAGCTTCTTGTTCTACTTTTTTTCTGTAATTAGAATAAATTACAAGTAATGTTTGATTAATTTCTTTTTCTTCTTTTTCCCATTCTAAACGATCAACATTTCCTTTTTTAAAAACTCCTCCAATAATTAATTGTAATGGTTCAGAACCTCTAAGAATTCGTTGTGGTATTGACTTCTTTAAAAACCAATTAATTTCATTATTAAATTCATTTCTTGTTTTTCGAGCAAATGGAATCACATCAGGAAGAATAGAGTCAGATATAAATTCACTATTATAATGAATTGTGTTTACTAATTCAATTAATTCAGTATAAAAAGTATCCATAATAATTGGAATTTGTTCATTGAAAAATGATTTTAATACTAATAATATTGATTTATTTGAATTATTTGTTTTTGACACTTGTTCTACTAATTCATTTATTTCACCTCCATCAACTTCAGCTCCTGTTTTTGGAGCATCTACAGTTATAGAAATGAGTTGTGAAAGAGATTTAGTAACTTCAGCACACATTCCAATATTCATACAAGACTCTTTATGAGAAACAGAAATCCTTGATAAGACAAATTTAGAATAAAGTTGTGATAAAAAGGCTCTTTTCATGTCAGTAAATTCTAAAAATTTTTCAAGATGTACTTTTTCTGAATCATATGTTGCAGGTGCATGAGAATGTATTTCTGGTTTAGGTAAAAATAAAGGATTCCAAATTATAAGATATTCATCACCATCTAAATCTCCACCTGATAATTTATTTGGATCTGGACGATTTCCTTTTGACGAAAATACAATCACATCTCTTAAATAAGTTAGTCTTTCAAATCCTTTCTTTTTTTCTGAATTTATTTTATCTACAACATTGTTTAATAAAACAAAATCTCCTGGATGAGTTGCTGGAAATTTAACTACTAATAGTCTTGATGATGGGATCGTCACAGTTGGTGTTGTCACTTGAATAAAAACCTCACCTTCTTCTAATAACCCAGACTCATCCATTACACCCATTAGAAAAGCACTATTATCTATATCAAACTTAATAAAATCTGTTTTTTCACTAAGTAAAGACATCCTTAAAACTAATGAAGTTGCTCTAATAAAAGGTTCTTCATATATTTTTTGATTACCATTACTTGCCATTATTATCTTTAATGCAACTTCAATTACAGGATTATTTGTAAATCTTTGAAATAATGAAATAATTTCTCTATTTGGTGTTACACTAAAATATTTTTTTAAATATTGTTTTGCTGAAGAAATAAAATTACTTGGAGGAATTTGAAGATATTCTAAACCAAGTGCTAATTGTTCATTCATTCTACCAGACCGAAATTGAGGAATTTGAATAACTCTTAATTTTTGAATAGTTTTAGGAAGAGCCTCAATTTTAATTTGAGATGGTCTAAAATAAATATTTTCTGTCATATCAAGTCTATCAACTGTTAGTACTCCTTTTACCCCAGCGAAACGAATTTGAAATGCGTATGGTTCATCTGATTTAATAAAAAGATTACTATTTCGTTTATATTCATTTAAAACTTTCTTTGCTAATGGATAACCAATTCTACCAACACCATCTGAAAACGTATATCCATTTTCATTTGTTATATCATCAATAACCTTAATCTGTTGTGGATAAATACCTACTGTTGCAATAGAGTCTGATCCAAATAACCCTGTTCTCATTAATAAAATACCTGCATTCTTAATTTTTGGACTTTTTAAATCAACACCAAGACTTTGGTATGCAGCCATAGTTGTTTTTCCATCTTGATTGTCAATAAACCAACATGCACCAGATCTACTTTGAGATGGATTTGAAAGAAGAAATTGAAAATATCTTTTTTGAAAGAAGGATTTATATCCTTTGATCATATAAAAACACATTAAATCAGTCTCTAATCGTTCCATCACTTGCATTCTTTTTTCATTATTTAAAAATTTCATTCTAAGCATTTTAACTCTAAACTCTGGTGAAAAGTCTTCAAGGATTGCATTACTTTCATTATATCCATAACCAAGACGAATAAGAGAAGAATTAACTTCCATTTTTAATACTAATTCTTCATCTTTCCACTTCTTTGTTGTTCCATTATAATCATTTTGACACTTTTCAATAACCTGTTCAAGTGAAAACAATCTTAAATAATCCATACTTTGTGCTTTCATTGTTGCCTGCTTCTTAAAGAATAATAAAATATCTTTCGTAAATTTACAAAGAGATTGAATAACATCTTTTGTAATTTGTGATGGAATGATAATCCCTTGAAGATATAATCCTTCTAATTGAAAAAGTACTGCTGTTTCTTGTTGACTTGGATATTCAATAATAATTTTTGGTTGAAGGTCAATAGTAGAGTCAATAACATAAGGAACATTAATTGTTAAATGTTCAAAATGGGCTTTTCCTTGTTTACTATTTTGGAGAATTTGAATAACTTTATCAGTATATTCTGGTAATGAGAAATAAATAGAATGGCACCTGTTTATTAACTTTGTTGGGGTGAAGTCTAAAATTTGAGTTTCTTGAAATGATGATGACGGGATATGAATGTGCAGTGGATCTTTGATAATGAGGATAAATGAATTTTTATCATTTGGAGAAATAATGATTCGATGAAGAGAAGAAATTAAGAATCTATACTATATCTAATTAATATATTAAATATCAGACAAACAGTTTAGTTACATTATTAAACAAACAACATATTCCATGGTATGAATGTCAAAAATATTATGGTCAATCCTAATATAACATTCTGTAAATTGTTTCTCAATTGCAAAAGTTACTGGATCAACAAATGAACCTAATCCAATATCTCCAATAAAATCAAAACATTGAGGAATCTTTTCAGCTTGTTTTATATTATTATTTTTTTGTTTTTTTTTATGATAATAATCAAATTTATCCATCAATCAATAATGTTTTGAAGTTCAGTTTTTGTTTTTTTTTTGATTTAATTATTTATTTTTTAAGATACAATCATATCAATTTTCATTATTAACAAGATTAGTCACATGAGGTTAAATTATAAATGACTATTAAAATTCCTATTTATTCGTTAACTCCTTAAAGACTTAGAATGATGGCATTTCATTTAGTCGTTGTTGATTCTTCAGAATAAAAAGACTAGAGATAAAGAATTTACCCAAAAATAATAACTAAAATAAATTCAATAAGATGAATTGAACTTGTTAATATAATTATCAACAACACTTTCAATAAAAAGGATTGAAGAACCAGAAATTCCTGAAGATGCAAATAATACTCCAAAAATTATCATAATAATACTTGCAACTTTTGTACTTTTATTCTTTGAAACAAATAATGCCATTGAAGCAGGTAAGAAATGAACAAAATAACTTCCTGAAATACTACCATTTAATGATATTTGAATTGTACATTGCCAGAAGAAAGAAGATGATAATCCAATTAGAGAAAATATGAACATTGAAAGGATCCATCTTCTACGTTTACTTGGTTGCCAAGAAGTAAAATAAAATGACTCAATATCTTCATAGATAGTAACAAAGTAAGAAGGAGTTTGAAGTAAGAAAATAATGATTAGAAGTATATTTAAAATAACTGCAAGTGAATGCATTGAAGGATTTGATTGGTTTATAATAAGATAAGAAGAGAATGGCATACTTGTTGTTGATGGACCTAAAGAAAGACCTACACAAACTCCATAAACAATCGCAAAAAATATAACAATTATATAAGACAATATTACTGCTAATGGTGATTCACTGGGTTCATTAATCTTTTGTTTGAAAGGAGCAAATATACACATAAGCATGGAATATGAAGGAAAAATCTGGTGATGTCCAATATCCCTCCAAATATTATCAACAACATTAGTATTTGCTGCTATACCATTTACATATAATGAACCCAATGAATAAACAAAACCTAAGAAAAAAAGAAATGGTAAAACATAACAAGAATATAAACTGACTAGTGTTAAGAGTTTTGAATAAGAGAAAAGATGACATAATGGAGTAAGTAATGTTATGACTAAAGACTTAATAATTGAATTTCCTTTCCACCATTGAGAATGATCTGAATGTGTCATTGTCAGTATTAAAGATTCTATTGAAGAAGAAACAATTGTTAAGATAATTCCCAACAACAATATATTATAAAGTATTCTCATTGTTCTTGTTATTGATAACACAGTTCTTCCACCATTATGTTGAGAAAGGTCAGTAATTGTATATAATGCAGAGTTTTGTTGTATTACACGATATAAATATAAGGATATAGTAGAAATAATACCACTTAATAAAACTAAAATTGGATAAAATATTCCTGTTGATACAAATAAAAAAGGAAGAATAGTAAATTCAGGTCCCATTAAAGTTTGAATAGTCTGAACTAATGTTGTTATAATAATTGGTATTTCCATTCAACCCAAAACTATAAAATAAATAACAGTTTTTTGTTTTTCTCTTTTTTTTTGTTTAATAATTTTTTTAATTTTTAATTTATTTTTAAGACTGTTTGTTTGATTTAAAATTTTAATACTAAACTATTTATGAAAAAGTGCTAATTCTTTATTTTCTATAAAATTCTTCAAAAACATTATTTTATTCATAGACACATGATAAAAAAAGAACCCAAGTTGAATCTTAATTGGTTATTATTCAAATAATTAGAAAATAATTAAACAAGAATATAAAATAAATGAAATACTAAATAAAGTGTTTTGAACGTTCAGTTATTTGAGTGTTTCAAAACTAAAAAATAACTTGTAAAACTGTTTATCCTTTATTTTGACTTTATTAATAATATTTCCTTTATCATTTAGTAACCAATAACGGTAGAAATATAAATAGAGGAGGGTTAGTTGTTTAGTTAACAACTCCTATCGAAGTTCTAAAGTAAATTTTGGAATTATAATTCTATTTTTAAGACTTTTATAGAATAATCCACTTTCAGATAAATCAAATCTTTCTTCAAAATTATTCTATTTGATGGAATCACCAAAAAAGGTTTTAAAGACATATACTCCAAAAGACTTTTCAAAAGAACTTACAACACATGATAACCTTTCTTTTATGTCTTGTAGAAAATCAGAGTTAATTAAAGCTTCAAGAACAAATAGAGAAAAAAAGAGTTTCCAACAATTACTCTGTATTGGATTACTTTCACACCATGTGTCTTTAGTTATAAAATTGCCTATTAAAAAATCACACATTACAATGGAATTTATCAAAGTCAAAAATATTCATTTCAAAAATGGTGAAAGTCTTGAAATAGAAGATTTTATCATTAAAAGATGTAATGAAATTTATAACCATGATATTACAAAAGGAATTCCATTAAAAACAGCTCAAAGAAGACTTGAAGTAAATAAAAAAATAGAGACAATTCACTTTCTTCAAGACCTTCTTTTAGACTATGGATACTTTTTTACATTAGCCACTGAAAAAGGAAAGAAATCAACAAACAAACTTACTTATATTACTGAAGTTTTCAAAAATGGGAAATGTATTTTTTCAAAAAACCAATTATTGCCATATATTAATTCATTAAGGTCCACACTTAAATCAAAAGTAATGAATCATTGTGGGTACTTCAAAATTGAGTCCCCACTCGATCCAAATAACGTTAAATAAATTATATGTTTTTTTTTTCTTTATTTATTCTCTTACAACAAGAAATTTTTGATATAATTCTTAATTCTGAGAATATTAAATGGTTTGCTCATATCATTGAAATATCATAATTCTTTGAAAATACTCAAAACTTAATAGTGTACAAATGAGTCGATTTCATTTTAAAAAAAAGGTATATTCAAAAGATAATTCTTCTTTTTTTGTGAGGTAATTAAAAATGATTAGCAAGAATTTCCAAAACAAAATACAAAACCATTAACAAAAAGAACAACAATTACTCTAAGTAGAATAAAAAGACTTGATGTATTAAAGTTGATTATTTTTCAAAAGAAAACTAAGAACAAACCAAACGTTCGTTTGAAGAACAATAGATTGCGTGGAAAAGCAAAAAAAAGAATAGAAAAATATAAAAACTAAAAAAAAACAAATATACATAGAAGTAATGAAGAAATTAGATAGATATTCAATTATGATTGTGTCTAAATATCTTGAAAATCTTCAGGATTTTCTTAATATTATTTTAGTATGTAAAGCATACTCTCAAACACTGGATAAATTTCATTATAATCCTATTCCTATCACTACACAAACAATTAAATTATTTCAAAACTTAGAAACACAATTTATATATTCCCGTTCTGATTTATTATTACCAACAGTTTCTCAATATGAAATATGGTATCCTGTATCAATTTGTGAAGCACTAAAATATAAAAATACAATAAAAAGGTATAAAAATATTGAAATTTCTTCTATTGATATTCCTTTTGAAACTTCAGAATTTCAAAACTATATTTATAGTATAGGAGATAATGCATTTTGTAGGCAACCAATCACTTCATTCAATTTTCCTTCAAAACTTACAAAATTAGGTGAGTCATCGTTTTCTCATTGTAGTCATTTATTAGCTATTGAACTTCCACCTTTTCTTAAGTTAATAAAGTCTCATTGTTTTAGTAATTGTTCATGTCTCCAAACCGCTATTCTTTCTGATAATTTGATATCCCTTCCAAATAGTTGTTTTCAAGAATGTAGATGTTTATCAACTATTCATCTTCCTTCAATTTTAACGTCAATAGGTGATCTTTGTTTCTTTCAATGCAACAGAATTACTTCTATTAAACTACCTCAAACTCTTAAAGTATTATCAAAACGTTCTTTTGGATGTTGTAGAGGGTTAGAACATATTGAATTTCCAGATACTCTCGATATTATTGGAGAAGAATGTTTTTGTTTTTGTAATGGCCTTACTGAAATACAACTTCCTCCTCGACTTAAAACTCTAGCTAAAGGAGCTTTCACTAATTGTAATAGCATTAAACAAATTATTATCCCATTATCAATAACGAAAATTCCAGAGTGTTGTTTCTATCAATGCGCTTCTTTATCTTCAATTCAATTCCCATCTTTATTACGATCAATTGGCATAGATGCATTTTCTGATTGTTCAAGACTTACCTCAATACTTTTTCCAAATAGTCTCACAGTCATTGCATCTTCCTCATTTACTCGTTGTTTCATACTAAAAAATATTACTTTCTCATCAAATCTTCAAACAATCCATTCAAATGCATTTTCTGGATGTTCTCAACTAAGTTCTTTGGTCTTCCCATCAAACCTTCATTGTATTAGACCAAAGGCTTTTAAAGATTGTATAAATCTCCAACGAATTAGTTTCTCAAAAACTCCTCTTACTATTGGAGAACACGCATTTAGTCGTTGTACATCGCTGACTTATGTTAAAGGACTTACAGAGAAATGCCTTATTTCTTCAAATGCCTTTGAACACGTACCTATAAAAGTACAGTCAACAGGATGTATAATAAACTGATGTTATTTCAAATTATTTTAAGACTTCTCTTTCATCTTTCATTTACAAATAATTCAAATATTAATATGTTTCACTAATTAATGTTTTCACAAAATAATCAACTTTTCTTCGTATAAAAATACTTTCAACTAAGAAAATAAATAACAACTCTTAAAAAAAAAGGGAAAAAAATACCTAAAATAAAATGAACTTTTGTTTTTTTTTGGTTTCTTAATCAACAACATCGTTGACATTTTCTTCACCATCTACCTTAGAATAACCATTATCAACTTCTCCACTACAAAAAGTAACAATTGCAATGAACACAATAAGAAGGATTGTTAGAAGAAGATAAACACCTCCAGAAATGAAATTTTGAAGTGAAGCAGAACGAACTTTTTGAGTAGCATTATAACAAGTAAGTTGTTGTTGATACCCAACAGCAGAATCACATGGTGGGAAATCACGAGAGGTTTTCCATCCACAACATTGGAAAGCATTTTCGTATTGTGTTAAATGAGAACTCATTGTACTGTCTGATGCAGTTAATAAGAAGAAATATGAATATCCATATAAACCCATCATTCCAAGAGCAGTTAAACCCAATAAAACATAAATAATTATTGTGATGAATCTTAACCATTTTTGTTCAATAAAAACAGCTAAAATTGAAATTATTCCAACAAAAGCAGCAATACCTCCACATGCCATCATTTCAATTTGATAAGTCTTTTTTGAATACATATAAAGATGATTACTTGACTTAATATTCTTTAGTTCGGACATATTATGTACTGGTCCAATATATATTAACACAAATAAAGCAGCTCCACTTAACTATTTCATATTATTAATACCTTTTTATCTTTTTTATATATAATAATAACGTACAAACAACAAGAATAATCCCAGTTATTAATAAGAATAACTTAGATAATGAAAACATCTAATATAAATATTCATTTTTTAGTTCTTTTATTTTTAATTCTTTTTCTTTCAAATAAGTTTTTTATATTTTTATCCTTTTTTATTGAACAACTACGAAATAACTTTAAATCTCTAAAGTTATTTAATTTATTTAAAAAATTGTAAATTCTTTAAATAAATTCATAAAGAAAAAGAAAATTGAATCAGAATTATTTTGAATTAATTAATGGTGGAATGTCAGTAGAATGAACAACTAGTTGTGACGTAAGTAATTCTTTTTTTTCTTCTTCATCACCAAGGTCTCTTTTTTTATTTTCTTTTGCAAGTTCTGAATAATGAGAACGTTCATCTTCACTAAGTGCTTTCCATTTATCACTTAACATAGTCATAACTTCATTTCCAGAAACACCTTCTTGTTTAAGTTCTTCACGATGTTCTTTACAAAACAACAAATACTAATTTATTAAATAAGTTTTTAACTCTATTTTATAATATTTTAAAAAAAAAAATGATTAAACAAACAGGATGCCATTCTTCTTTTCTTTTCATTCCATCATTCTTTTTCTTCTTAATAGAATACCCTTCTTCTCCTAATAATACATTTTCAATTATAGCAGTTTTAAAATATGTTTGAATAACATCTTCTTGTTCAGTTTCCCATAATTCTAATGCTTTTTCTTCTGCAATTTTCATTGTTAATGTTGGATTTTCTCTAACAAGTTCTCTTCCTTTCCATTTCATATAAATTCCTCTTGCTAAGTCTGTTAATTCTCCTTCTCTTCGCTCATTCTTTTCTTTCACTGTTATCTTCTTCCGTTTCTTCTCTTCAAATGGTTTAGGTAATTTTGGTGAATGCATCTCTTCTTTATTTTCCCGTTGAGTTGCGTAGGTTTCCTAGAACTTTCATTCCATCTTAAAAAACCCTAAATTTCCGGGATTCTCATTTATCTTTTTTTAAATTTTTTTTGTTGTATATATAACAAATAATAATAATAATTATTTTTATAGTTTAATTTACTAGAATTATTTTTTTATTTGACAGGGAATTAAAAAAGAATAATGTTAAATATTGGAATACATTTCATTGATGAAATTAGAAGAGTGAATTGTAACGTATTACCAGTAATGTACTCTGACATTTTTTATAATAAAATTAAAAAAGAAGATTCAATAGTTATTAAAAGTTTGAATTTGATTTTTAAAGATTTGGTAATTGAAAGAGTGTTAATAAAAGAAGTTAGTGAAGACAATAAAATTGTGGGAGGTATTATAGGGATGAAAGAAAAAGACAAATATATTTTAATGACATTAGCAATTTATACTAAGTTTCAAGGAAAAGGATATGGGAGTAAACTTGTTGAGTTTTTTATTCAAAAAGTTAAAGAAAAAGGTATAAGAAAGATTGAAGTTCAGGTTCATATTGATAATAAACATGCAATTGAGTTCTATACTAAATTTGGATTTAAAAGGATAAAAACTATTCCAAAGGCTTATCCTCGACTATCTCATCCAAGTGGATATCTTTATGAATTAATAATAAATACAATGTAAAAATTAAAAGGCAAATAATTGATGAATTTCATATCCAAAACTTAATGAACTGTCAAATTATACTTTTTATATTTAGTCAAATAACTTTATTTATGAAATAGAATTAAAAATAATTCATATTAAAGTATTTTTATCATAAATGAAAAAAATTGATTGAATTAAAAGATTTATTGTGGTAATGGAAATTATTATTTAATTGATTATGTTATGAGTCTTATTAATTCGTTATTATTCATTTTTATAATACTAATATAAATATTCAGAACTATAACAAAAACAAAATGTAACCACCTGTTTTGTAATCATTCTAAAAACTATTATTTTATTGTTCAGAGTCATAATAATTACTATTTTTTATATCAAATCTCTTAAAAAAATGTCTTTTTTGGATATGGTTGTATAAATTAAGGTTAGTTTGAATAAAATTATTATAACATTAACCTTTATTAGTTTTTTTTAACATAACTGTCTTTACCTTTTTTGTTCCTGTAGTATAATAATATTATGATTGGTTTAGTATCTAAACAATTATATAAACAAATAAGCAAATTAAATATTAAAA